ATCTTAGAATATGAAAACATTGGTGAATGCCACAAATTCTCCTAAATCATTTGTACGCACAACTTAAGAACAAATCTGTGCGTACAAACGGTTCTTGCATGAGGCCCATTCTTCTTTTTTTCCATAGATACATATGTCTATAGTCACACACTCAAAAACATAATCCATAACAGTTGACATCGAATCTATCATCTTGTAATTGATATTCTTATCCACAAAAAAGCCACACCACCTCCATTTTTATTTTCTCTGTTTTTATATCATTTCATAGCCATCAGTTTCAAAGTCTTTGCCCTTTTCACTGTTTAACCACCTTTCTGATATTGCAATTATATTGAAAGTCTGTGAAAGTTGTTGGAGGTACTGTTTGATGCTGAAGAAATTAGCAAACAAACTTCTGCTATTGAAGTGGATTATGGACAGCTTGTGTTTAGTTTTTATGTTGCCAACTGATCATCAGTGTAATATTGACAGTTGTTGCTGATACCCGCAAAAAAATTATTCTCCGGATCAATGTCATTCTCAATATCCTGCTGATGATGATCGTTGTACTGAAATGTAGTCAATTCTATATCCTCAAAATCAGCAGTCTGTGCCAGATTTCTAGGATGCACATCAGCTGCTCTTGTCATAGAAATGTTTGTGTATCTGGGTAACAAAAAGTCATTTCTGAATCAATTTGCATACCTGGTTATCTATTATATGTCTGGTTGGTTTTGGTGTACTGGAGCGTGGACGGATGATCAACTTATCGTAGCGAAGATAAGCAATGTCTCCTCTTTCACGTGCTGCTTTTAATTCTGGCATCAGTTCCCTCCTCCTTTTCCTTGCAGCATTTGTGAAATCCTCGTTTGTGTAGATTTTAGATCCTTTGAGAACCTTAGTGCACTGCAGAATAGATGATCTATCCTTGTGCTTCAGGAAACTGACAACAATCGGTCTGGGTCTATCACCTCCAGGTTTTCCAGTACGATAAACTCTTTCCATCTCAATCTTCTGTAACTTTAACTTCTTAGTCAGAAGGGTGTTTACTTTTTCCTCCGTCTCAGCCCAAGTTTCATTTGGCGACTCAGTAACTCCATCAATGACCAGATTCTTTCTACTGGATTGTCCCACCAGGTACTCCATCTTGTCAGTGATAACTAACATGCTATCACCAACTTTAAAGACATCCGATTGCAATGAGTTACAGCTCTCGCCGTGTTTGACACTTTGAGCTTTAATGTCATCCACATCTTTCTGCGTAAACAAAGATCTACACTCACCGGCCACTTTATTAGGTACACCTGTCCAACTGCTCGTTAACACTTAATTTCTAATCAGCCAATCACATGGCGGCAACTCAGTGCATTTAGG